AAAAAGGTGAATGATCTGGTGTTAAAGTTAAAGACATTTCATATTGGATTTTTGGCACTTCAGGAAGTTCAGGTTGAAGATATGACTCAACAAATAATTTCTTTAAACAGGCAGTATCTTGTGCATTAATATCTGGATTAACTTTCAAACTTATGTCATAATCGCTATTGGCAGAAATGTCAATATTCATAATTTGTTGAAGTTCTTGATCATAACTGATATCTTTACATGTTTCAAGCTTTAAACCCTCTCTACATATCTCTACCTTGAGGTTTGGTAAGGAGAAAAAATCTCTGCCTAATAATATAGGTGAAAAAATGGTACCTCCTGGTACAACATGGAAATCAATATCAAAATCCAAAGCATCATACCTTATACTAGTTTTGAACAACCCTAATATTTCCAGTCCTGTTCCATGGATTCCTAAAAATTTAATATTAGACTCATAAGATTCAATAAATGATGATGGAACATGAAGCAAGCTTATTAGCGAAATAGGACTACCAGTATCTAAAAAAGCGCTGTGTTTGACATATTTGTCACCATACCTTACATTCAAATCAATCATGTATGCAGGACAAATGACCATGGCTGCATTATTCTGATTTGAATTTGCATTACGTCTCTGTGGACATTCAGGCCTCTTGTGCTCAGTACTTCCACACTCATAACAACTGCCTCTCTCTCTAATGGGATGTGGACAAGCTTGACGAATATGCCCTGAACCATTGCAATTGTAGCACCTTCTGTTCTGCCCATTCAACTGCCCATTGGCTGCCTGATATCGATTGGAAGTATTGTTCTGTGTGATTGGTCTACTCAATCGATTTCTAAACCCATTGTTTGTCCTCTCTTCATTGGTTACGTCACCCATAACTCTCAGCAGGTGTTCCAAGTCATCAAATTCCTTAATCTTGCACTGAGTCTGAAGATTCTGGTTATCCATGCCCTCGATAATGTATAATATCAAGTCGCTTTCACCTAGGTCCAATTGGTTACCAAGTAGTACCTTCTCTTGGTAATACTCGCGGAATTTCTCCATCCTCTTCCATTTACGATTTTCAAATCTTTTCATAAGGGTTATTCTACTCTCTCTGTTGCGGAACATCGATGTCATACTCGCCTTCAGGTCATCATAGGACAAAATAGCATGGTCAGGCTTAGAGTGGAACCATTTCTTTGCATTGCCACCTAGCTTATTGATGATGAATAGCTTCAACCTATTGTCATTGATCTCGTAAATCTGTCGAATAGCATCGATTCTCCTAAACCAGCCTTCTATATCGTCATCATAAGCCCCATTGAATTCAGGAATTAGAGCTGCGACAGCATTGTGACCATTTCCAAGGGATGCCGCCTGTACCGCTGCTTGTACCAAATCTTCTACAGTGATATTAACTTCACCGCCTGCATTTCCATCCATAATCTCTGGTACTTCGGGTACTTCAAGAGGTTCATCCAATTCTAGCGGCATGCTCCAACCTAACCTCATAGTGGACTCGCAATCTCCAAAATTAGCGAACAGGAATATTATTCCTACTAGTACACATAAGTTCATCCCTCTTCTGAACTGTAGGGTGGCCCTCTTTTCAGGATGAATGTAGATTCAATAAACATTAGACATCGATCACACTAACATTTATTTTCCATTTTGTGACAACACTGACAACCTGCGACATCGACTCTCACGCAACAAGTAACAAGTGAGTTCGTACTGAACATTGGACAAGTGTCTCCTATACGACATATGACACTTGACAATAATGAAGGTTCTTTCCTAATACTCAGTGTTACCAAACTAAACTTATACACTGTGGCGGCAAATTTGAATTTAAATTATATTATCCTACAAATTTAGAATCAACTGTGAATCTATACAAACCTTAAGACTTTCTGAATTTAGTTTCAATTATATAAACTCTAAATTTGTTGTTTTATTCATTTTGTCAGGAAGGAATTGAAAATATTAAATTTGAATTTTAATGAAGTTAAAACGATTCACGCCCATGAAACAAGGCAATTTAATTTATTGATAGCAAGTAATTATGAGTCAAACTTTGGTAAACAATCAATATTCCATAATGGAATAATTTTATATAACTCCTTACATAATGAGTTGAAAAAAATAGAAAAAGCAAAAAATTTTCAAATCAAATTGAAGAAATATCTGCTCAGTAAACTTCAATTCCATATCTACTAATCATTCACAATTTGATTACTTGTAATGGATTATAATATTTTCATTTTACATTTTATTATAATTTTCTTTATGAAAAACAATAATTGTGCAATTATTATTGTCTCGATTTATTATGTTATATGTATACTTTGTTGTATATATCCCTATTATAAACAATAATGTTTCTTGGGGTAATAAAGACAATCAATCAACACACTTACCATGTTGAAAAGAGACAACTTTCATGCACTCAAATACAAATAAAATCACTACACCGGAGATAATTTTTGGTTTTTCACTTTTAATAAATGGAGTTCTGTTTTTTATCACTCGAATAAACCGTACGCGTTGAAATCTAATACGAGACTGATGGCCGATATTGGTTTGATTCTAATGACTAATTAGTTACGTCATCCTTTCATCCGGTTAAATCCCAAACTAGTATGACTAATATCGATAGGAGATATACAGTGTGGGGTGAAAAGATCTTCAATATACATTGTAACCGTTGAAGTCCGCATCATATAGAATTTTTTTACTATTTAGTTTATGCAAATTAGGATTTCATGAACTGTTCTTACTTTGGAAAAAGTGCAAAATGTAGTTGATGATTTTTGCAAATCAATAACTGTCGAATTAGACATTAATAATTAGACATTTTCTGTCAGGAAATCAATCTTTCGAACAAAAAAGATTTTGAAGTGTCACATGAATTCATCATTAGTAGAAGAAAAATAATACTATTGAAGATTCCTGATACATATCGATCTTCGGTATCGTATTTTTGTTCACCTGTACCAATTTCAACTAACATTTGATCCTTTTTTGTAATCAGTCCAGCAGAAGAATCCGAAAATCTAAATAAAAGGATTTCCAAAAAAAAAGTTACTCATGAAGTCACGAAGTTAGTTCACCATGTATATAAGATTAGTATATAAAAAAATGGTAAATTGAAATCAGAATTAATTTAGGAAATGGTAGTAGTGAGTGATAATAGAAATCGTATTTTACTTTATTCAATTTCATGTTTAACCGTTTTATACGAAATTTTATAAGCTCTATACAGGGTTTTCAAATATATGTCGGCACTATTGCGAACTTGGTCATCATTGGAGCTATCAAGTCAGGACAAAGTAGCAGTATTTTCACGAAAATTAAACAGGAATCTAACATACATAGCGTTCACGAGTTACGTAAAAAAGTGTCTCTACCTATGACTTTCAGCTTCCAAGTTTCGAGGTTCATCAATAATGAAACCCAAACTGTTCCTTTGGAGAAGGATGTATTGAGAATTGTATTTTTTTAATTTCTAATAGGGATATGTTCGTAGGCAGTGACCTGATGGTGAAATATAGGAATCTAGGGAAATTATGCTCAAAATGGACCTTATAGGTAGTCAATACCATTCAAGAACCTCTTTTCAAATTTTTCCTATCGTTTTTGTTTTTCTTCTGATAGTGCTAAGACATTGTGCTTCGCTCACCCTGTACAATATATTGTGACATTTGAATAAAAATATATAGTTTCAATTTTGTATTCATTTGACTTCCTAATCCTGTAAGAATAAAACTGAAATTTAATTTTTAAGTCGATAAAAAAATCAATAATAATTTTTTATTGATTATTGATTGCAACATTATCATTTTTCCTATATGAATTTTTTTATTTAATCACGTTCACTCTTAAATGAAAGCAAGAAACGAGAAAATATTTCAAATAATGCGAGCGCTTCCCATTAGCGAACATAAGATAGAGAGAGATAATAGGTATCCGTAAACACTGCGGGTTGCCTGAAAAATATTTTTGCCTCACTCGTCGTTCACAGAGGAATGGTAACTTCTAATGGCGCGTTCACATGCTGGCTTTTCGCCTCTTGGCTTATGGCGTATTGTGATTCGACTGGCCGATTTATGTGAAAGCGCGTATCAAGGTCATATGCCAAAAAGTCGATTCCGATCGTCCGATTCGACTTTATGTCTAAAAGAAGTTTCGACTCTGTAACTCAAAGCGAAAGCGAAAGCATGCGTAATCGACTGCTTTTGCCGTTTCGGTACTAGATACCTAAGATGTTTTACCTTTTCAGGTTAGTTGTTGTTGTTAACTGTGGTGAGAAATGTTTTATTTAAATATGGCAATTAGTGAAATGCTTGTACAATTTCCAGTTATAGTTAATAACATTTCTGTAGAATTCACGGTCACCAATGAAGATTACCGAATTCAGTCAACTGGTTAGAATTGTTTCCTACTTTTTGATATATTGTTTTTTTATGTTCAATAATTGTAGAAGATGAAGAGTTACTTAAATATGTGAAGAACTTTGTTAGAAACGGATAATATTCCCGAAATTCCATGAACAATAATAATTCCATTTTCTTGTTGAATGTTTTGAGTTTCAAATTTGTAATTCGTTTCTTCAAATGTCGCAAAAGTAACTATAGGCTGAAATCAATGAAACCTGTCCGACTTAGAGTCACTGGATGGTATTAGTTAGTCCGACTCAAAATTTTCCAATAATATCCGGAAGTACGGTGCTGCACTACGAAATACGGTAATTTCAGTAACCGAGTACGGTACTGACGTTTCAAGGTGTTGGCAACCCTGGCCATACGCCATATTTGTTTTTAAATTTTTACTAATGCTCGCTGCTGCTGGTATGTTCCTTTATAAATTTTGAAATAAAAAATCATAGATATCATAATGGAGATCAGAATTTTGAATCATATGATTATTGAATGGCAATTCAGATTATCGACATGATTGAGAAGGTGTTGGGAAGCCGATAATTTGAACGTACTTATAGGAGAACGAGAATATATCTGATATGATGGAATTGGAAATTGATGTTTCTCAGAGTATTTCTTCTGCAGACAACTCCACTATTAAACAAGAATTCAGCGAAGAACTTGGCAACGAAAATGGAGACATATCTATTGAATCTGATGTACTTCAAGACCTGAAATTTGAAATTGACTATGAATCTGACCCTTCCAAAACGGACCACAAGGATGAAATTTTCGTCTGTAACTTATGTGGGGAATTCTTGCATTCCCAAAAAGCGTTAGGTGATCACGAACTACAATGTAAAATTGAATGTAAATCTGTCCCATTAAAAAGGGACCCTCAAGAAGAAATTGTATGTGAATTAGGTGGAAAATTCCTTTCCTCCAAAAGGAAATTAGGCCATAAACTGGAATATCATGAAAACAATACGAAAGATTTCCAAATCAAAGATGAAATGTTCTTGTGTGAAGTGTGTCAAGAAATTTTCAGAAGTGAAGAGGACTTGGAAGACCATAAGTTGTCTCATCTAGAAGCAGAATCTGAAGGAGATGCAGATGAAGCAGAAAATGCTTATGTCTGTTCAGTTTGTAATGAGGTGTTTGATAATAAGAAAGACCTTGTAGAACACAAAAATAGTATATTGGAATGTTATGAGCACAGGAAATGTGACAAATGTGAAGATGGATCTGCACAGGAATTTTCATGCATTTGGGAGCTGATAGACCATGTCAAGGACAAGCATGGACTAAATGTTGGAGGTTAGTAGTACTTATAGGGCCATGAGATGAAAACAAATTGGTGAAATTGGTGCCATGTTGTTTTATTCTATTCACAACTATAAGCATCACATTCCACTATGATAATACTGGAATAAATTGCCACCAACTTACATTGAATCTAGAAGTATGTCATTATGTTGTGTCTTGAAAAATTTGAATGGAAAATGTTTCAAAATACAGGTGGTTTTACCAGTTTATCTTCATATCCCTTTGTTCAAGAAATGTGATTGATTAGTGGTGAATTTTTCACAGTAGGTACTTGTAGATCTATTGTATATTGTGTCTAGTATGAGTACCAAAATCATCAGACCATGTTTGGCAAACTTGATATCAAATTACATAGTAGGTAGTTTTTATGCATTCTTGTGTCCATGTCTGTGAATAATAAAATGTATTCACCTTGATATTCACAGATGATTAATTCTTCATGTGGCATAAATAATGATGCTGGTAGAATGAAAGTGGTGTTTCATCTTAGGTTTCATCATAATGTAAAAAATCTACCTGCACTTATGTGCTATTCTGTTTGAATTGTGTAATACCTAGATAATTTGATTGGATTACAGAAATATTCCAAAATTCAACTAGTGAGAAAGCCATTTCTTCAATACAATTGAGTTTCGATATTACAAGGTGTGAATCCTTGGGTGATTTTAAGGAACAAAGTTCATATCAACATATTATGTCCTAAACCTCTTAGTTTTTGAGCTACAGAGTGTTGAAATTTCAAGAACAAAGTGAGTTTTTTATCATAATTTATTACTTAGATATTCTTTTGAAATTTTGCACACACCTTTTCATCATTGAAGAGCATTTTCTGACATGGGTTTGAACTGATAATTTTGAAGAGAAAAATGGTATGCCACAGATTTTTATGAAAACCCAGATCATTTTTGAAATCAACATTCATTTGGAGCAAATTTGATGCCTAGATATACTTTCATATAAAATACCATTTTCACGTGAAAAAATAAAAACCATAAAATGTTTTGCCTGATATTATTTATGGCATTTTGTTTTTGTTTGTGAGGAAAATTATTGTTTCACATATAAGAGTGATGTTCACATAGGCTTAATATGAAACTGTACTCTAGTACTCAAAAACATAGGATTAGGACATGTTGATATAAACTTTTCTCCTTAAAATCACCCAAGGATTCACACCTTGTATTATCGGCACTCAATTAATTAACACCCTGTTCATAATATAGTGTTTTTCACGAGGTTTTATCAAGAGGTTTTTCAATTCATACCCTGGCCTGAACATTTTTATCTTCACAAAAATAAATATCAAATTTGAAGTGAACCTGCCTCAATAAACTGAATGAGAAAATTTGCAATCAATATTCAATGATTTTATATTGAAAATTAGATAACAAAAGTAGTGGAAAAGTGATTTGAAATTAAATACATGGTTGATATGTGAGGTTTTGGTCTGATTCTTGGATCCTGTGTTTGCAGCTAGTTGAAAAACTGTGTGAAGGTAAGTGAATGTAAATAAGTATTTTGCAAAACTCCTATAACTTGTATGTACCTGTGGTTGTGTACAAATGAAAATAATTCCACAAAATTCTTGAAAACAAGACATTAGCTTTAATATTTTTTAGCAAAAGATGCCATTGTTTTAAGATTTTTGTGCAAATATTATAGATTGTGAAATATTTATGAAAACTTTTTTATTGAGTACTTGACGAGAGGTTCAGTAGGTGACTTGAAGGTTGGTAACTTTGATTGCTACTGTTGATAGAGTAGTAAATATTCGATTGGTATGACGTTGGACAACTTGACAAATGAATGAAAGTGGAGAAACTGCCGAAACTGGGGAAGATGTTTTTGTTTTGATATATATTTTTTTTTAAATTCATTCTGTTGATTTTCCTTCATTATTGTAGCTGTTAGAGTGGAACACTCAAAACACAGCTCAAAACGATCCATTTCATGAAACGTCAAAGGTTGATTTGGTAGATTCGTGAAGTCTTCTAAAAATACTGTAACTTATCAATGCAACACCCTAAATAATTTTCAAAATAATGATTGCACAGTTCTATATGATAATAATTATTGACCTCCGAGCGAGCCTCCGAGGTTAGTTTTCTTCATGAATAATTCATATTCTTAATAATGCAAGTAAACTGAAATGAATATTTTATGTAATATGTGTGAATATTATATTCACCAAGTGAATCAACATTATTATTATCATAAATATGATCTCAAATGGTTAAGATAAGTATTCAAGATAGTAAACCATACTTTAAATTTTTTACAACAGGAGAAACTTCTTTCAATTTCCAGATGATCAGCCAGAGTACGAGAATTTAAAACTGAAAAACAGCACTGCAAAACCTTTGGAGAGACCATTTTCTAACAGGATAATATTTTTACATGCAAATTGTGTACACTTTTACACGAGCTTTTACACGTAGTCTTAGAAAATTCTTTGATGGTTCGGCTCTTGAGGTCATCAGAAGATTCATATTGACAGGTTTTTTTAATACATTGTAACATGAAATTTTTGTAAAAATCAACTTATGCATCACAAATTACTATTACACATAATAATAACATCGCGATCTTTTACGTGTATTCATTATGACGAAAAATTTACCAACGATTTCGATATAAATACTCATGAGAGAACTTGTACTGTGACATGAAAGTTTCTTTCAATAATCTTCTGTGTTTGTTTAACAAGTTCGGAAGATACTGTTTTTTGCTTATGATGAAAATTACGTACATAAACAGTAATCTGCACCCATAATCACTCAATTATAATAATTGAGAAATGTGAATTGACTGAAATTTGAACTCCGTTCCAGTTGTTTTATTTTAATGCTGTTTCCTACAAGTCAAAATACTGCTCAAAATACTGTGTACAGTTGATATGTTTCAGACTCGATTTATTTATATCGAACACGAAACATATGCTTATTAAAATGACTAAAACATTTCAGATCGCACAAAGATATTGCATTTCCGTTCAAATGAAGATGTCACATATTACACATGTTCCAGAAATGTTTCCATATTCTTGTACTAGGAAAATGCCAAATACTCAAAGTGGAATGATCTTAAATGGGAATTTGTTTTGGAGTGTTTCTTTCCTTCTACTCAGGTGGTGGTCGAGTCCATCTCGCAGATGCCGAACGCCTCGTGGGTATTGAATGCTAAGATGTGTTTACGTAGGGTCAGATTTGCATCAGATGGCGGTCATGAATGCCATCTGGAGATACTTCTGCACTGATGAAAGCCCAAAGCTTGAAACCGGAAAGAATCACTGCGCTGTATTCTTATTGACGAATCGTTGCATAGATATCGGAAGAATGTAATTCAGTGTTTCTGCGTGGCATATAGCCAGGAAAGTCGTTGTTTCCTCTAGTTATCTACCATTTTCGTTCATTTTATGAACTACTGCGGTAATGACTTCGAGTTTCTCCCTCTTTGTGACATAGGAACTATTTACGGAGGTGACGTTAGAATTGCTACAGTCAAGGTGACTACAGTGTAGAACTTAGGACGGATATTTTATTTGTCATTCTGTATAGTATACCTTGATGATATTTCTTAGGGTTCGAATTATTGTTGTTTATTTTTTTTTATTTTGATGTCACCCTGTAAACTAGAATGTTGCACGTCGCACGTAGAGTCCCTGTATATAACTTAGACAAGAGTCCGGACACAAAACTGACAGCCGTTGGGGTTTTTAATATTTTGTTTCATTTGGTTTGCCCACCTGACAATGTGACGAAACACCATAGTCGTCCCGCTCGCTTTTTTTAATTATTCCGAATGTCTGTCACTGTCACTAATTTTATGACCGCCAAAATTTAGCATTTCAAATTATTTCAATGTCCTGCTACGTAAATTATTGCGATAATTCATTAGAAAAGGGATTCAAGTTATTCAATTCTCCGAAAGATAATGTCATGGAAGAATGCAATGAAACGTCCAGAATGGAAAATTCATTTCAAGAAATCCGCAATATGTGAGGTAAATAGTCAAATTTACTGGTGAAAACAGTACAAAAAGGATGAATTTTAGGCCCATTTTGATAAAGATTTTTTCAAGCTGATGGATTTCAAATTGAAAGAGTCTGCTGTGCCGTCAATTTATGAAATAGAGACGTTCAAAAAAAGAGTCCCGTCGTCATCGTATTGGGAATTACTGAATGATACGTTCGCAGAGAAAGAAAATGAGAACGAGATGATGCGGAAAGAAATTGAAAGTTTGAAATCAAAACTGCTGCTATATCATCAGTCCACGGTGTTATTAATTCAGATCAAATTCAAAATGTACAGGTGAATGTAGACTGCAGGAAGAGGTGGGAAACAAAATTAATTAAGCACTCGCTATCAAATATATTGTTGATTTGATTTTGTCACTTTTATTTCTGATGAGTGTTATTAAATTGAGAGAATCGGAGAAAATTATATTGAAACAATTATATATCTTCTATTTTTTTATATTCCAACAGAAAACAACTATATTTTCTTGGCTATATGTGATACCACGTAGAACACTTGAATTATCTTTCTCACATCTAATGAAGTGAAGAAATATCTGATGACAAAAATTTGCAATAGCCATCGCAGGAATTGATTATGAAAATTATCGATTCGAAATTTGAACACCCTGTTGTTCATTATTCGAAAATCTAATAGTTATTCTAGTTAAAATAGCCCTATTTCTCACTTATACCTACGGCTATGAATGGTTTGACAAATAATCTAACCCTCAAAAGGGTTTCTGACAATCATTGATACTATAGGTCGCGTGCAAGAACTGTCAGATGACCGACCCTGGAGGCAAAACATATTTGTTTACAAGTGATCGAAATAGTTTTCCACAATTATTTTGGCATATGAATCGTATTTTTCCGCTATTCATCAATTCGCTAATGCCATCACATTGTGCTGTTGTAAAATGCACAAAAACTGCAGCGGAAGATGAAGAAATCCGGATGGTACATTATGATTCAAAAGTAAGTACCTACTATAGTATAGTCACTCACTTTGTTTTCATTTTTGAAATTGGGTTATTTCTCTGATTTCTCATCGGTATTCCTTCTGCAATAGGATCAGCTAATAGAAATATACCTGAAATTTCTAGAATAATGCAAGAAGATTGGATTCATGCAATCAATCGGTAGGACTGGTCTGACATGCTGACGATCGTGTGTGTTGTAGACATTTTCAATCTATTAGCAGCATTAGCTTGTATTGCAGAAGTGGCAGAAGGCAGAAGGAATTTTAATAAAGAAAGACAACATTTCATAATGCTAACTATGTGAGATTACTATTTACCTGAAAAATCATATTTCCTGGTCTCTTGCTGCATTTTTTGTGCATTATTGTACAACAGCACAATGCGAAGGCATGCTTGAATTAATGAATAACGCAAGAAACACGATTCGTATGCCAAAATATTGTGAAAAACTATTTCAACCCTTTGATTCCTCTGTAACCAAATAAAAAATTGAGGTTGTGTTTCAATGAGTCACAGAAGAATGAGGTTGTGTTTCAATATTTTGCCTCCAGGGTCGGTCTTCGTGCACGCGACCTATAGGTCGCGTGCAAGAACTGTCAGATGACCGACCCTGGAGGCAAAACATATTTGTTTACAAGTGATTGAAATAGTTTTCCACAATCATTTTGGCATATGAATGGTATTTTTCCGCTATTCATCAATTCGCTAATGCCATCACATTGTGCTGTTGTAAAATGCACAAAAACTGCAGCGGAAGATGAAGAAATCCGGATGGCACATTATGATTCAAAAGTAAGTACCTACTATAGTCACTCACATAGTTTTCATTTTTGAAATTTGATTATTTCTCTGATTTCTCATCGGAATTCCTTCTGCAATAGGATCAGCTAATAGAAATATACCTGAAATTTCTAGAATAATGCAAGAAGATTGGATTCATGCAATCAATCGGTAGGACTGGTCTGACATGCTGACGATCGTGTGTGTTGTAGACATTTTCAATCTATTAGCAGCATTAGCTTGTATTGCAGAAGTGGCAGAAGGCAGAAGGAATTTTAATAAGGAATGACAACATTTCATAATGCTAACTATGTGAGATTACTATTTACCTGAAAAATCATATATTCTTTAGTCTCTTGCTGCATTTTTTGTGCATCGTACAACAGCACAATGCGAAGGCATGCTTGAATTAATGAATAACGCAAGAAACACGATTCGTATGCCAAAATATTGTGAAAAACTAGTTCAACCTTTTGATTCCTCTGTAACCAAATAAAAAAGTGAGGTTGTGTTTCAATAATTCACAGAAGAATGAGGTTGTGTTTCAATAATTCACAGAAGAATGAGGTTGTGTTTCAATATTTTGCCTCCAGGGTCGGTCTTCGTGCACGCGACCTATAGGGGAATTGAGAAGACAGAGTTCGATATATTTATGTCTTATTCCTTTATTCAATCATCAATGCATTTTTTGAAAACAGAAAAGGACAGAAGTATAGCTGTGTCCGGACTCTTGTCTAAGTTATATACAGGGACTCCAGTCGCACGTAGCGTTGCAGAAATGTGTCCTTTATGTTGAGATGAAAATGTGTCAGGTGACACGTATTGAGTAAGGTACTTTTGACTTGTTTCAGATACGTTATGTATTCCGTGGGGAATAGGACGTTCCTTTTCACTGGTAGGAAATTCAACATCAGAAGCGAGTGGTTCACCTTGCCCGGTCTCCAAAAGTGCTATTCTGGATATAGTTGAAAAAAAAGGAGACATAGTTCAGTTTCTCTTAGTAAATAATTTCAGCGCTTTTTCGGAAGATCTGAAATGTTTGGTAAAATCGATCACTATATATAGTTGGTTAACTGGGAGCGAGACTGAAAATGCGTTATTTTGCTGGTGCTGTTCATTATTTATACAGGGTCATCAAACCTATACTTGGAGGAGGCTAGGTTGCACAAATTTGGAAAATCTATCGAGGTCTTTGATGTCACATAGCATTTCCAAGGAACATATTTACTCTGAATTGAAATTCAAAATGTTCGATAAAACAGTCGTCTCCGATGCACAATATCTCAGCTCACCCGAGTCTATTGATATGAATGATGAAAATGTTGCTCAAAATAGGGATGTTTATAACCGTTTTATCGATGCCGTTATATTATGTGCTTCTCAAGAACCGGCGCCTAATCAAATCAACTGTGAAGAGATGTTGAAAGTAATGGCCAAATACGATACGAAATTGAAAGATTTCTTCGAAACACAGAAAGAAGCATTTTCCGAAGAAATACAGAACGATTTATTGAGTTCGGTTTGCCACGTCGTCAGGCGTCACATAGAAGAAGAAGTTTCAAATGCTGTTTGTTTTTCCTGGCAAGTGGACAAAACGACGACCATCCCCACTCGTTCATCACAATTATCCATAATTTTCAGATATTGCTTGAAAGGTGTCCCTGTGGCGCGTTTCATCGAATTTTTGGACGTTGGTTTTTCAACAAAGGCCGAGAAGGTATCCCAGCTGTTGACCCAGCGATACGAAAAATTCAATTTGTGGTATAAGTTGGTGGGGCAAACGTACGACGGGGCTACGGTGGGGCCCGAGGAATTGAAGGGGCTTCAGACTAGAGTTGAAGTGGTGGCCCCTATGGCCGTGTTCACCCATTGTTACGCCCATAACTTGAATTCGGTGCTATGGGACGCGTGTACGCCGATCAGGGACTGCGCGAATTTTTTCGAAGATTTGCGAGGCTTTTCTGATTTTCTTTCGAAATGTCCAGAGCACGCGAGAATTTTTGATAATTTATGTTGTCCTGATTCTCAGACTAATCCGGATTTCGAGTACAGGATCGTGTTTTCCGTGAAGAATAAAAGGGAAGATTTGTTGTGTGCTATTCATTTCATTGATGATCAGGATGTGCAAACAAAGTATGCGACTAAAGATTTAGAGGACCGTTTGAACGATTTCAACTTTTTATTTCACTTGAATACCTTCGAGTCGATATTCTTGATAACGGAATTTGAATATTCTGTGATACAAAATAAAAACACTAATATTGTCTTGAGCAACACAAGAATTCATCATATACTTTCTACTTTGAAGTCATATAGAAGTAGGGAAAAGTATTTCAGAAGTATTTATGATGAGGCTAAACAACAGCTTGGCCTGCTTGGCCCACCTCAGAAGAAAAATAAAAATGAACAAGATTTCGCTCATTTCCGAAGGGTATTTAATGAAATATTAGATACTTGTATAACGCAAATTGAAGTGCGGTTTAACGATTTGAAGAGCCTTACATTTTTTGATCTTTTGAATCGGGACAAGTTTGCCCAATATAAAAAGTCGTTTCCCAAGTTTGTATTTGAAGCTCTACTCAAGGTCTATCCACATGTCTTTGATAGGAATAAGTTAGAGAACGAGTTGAGTATCGTTTACAAAGATGATGATTTTTATGGAGATTCTATCAGTAATTTAGCCGAAATGTCAAAGTTCTTATTCATTAACTCCATTGATGATACGCTGTCAGAGATATCAAAGTTATTTTCTATTATACTTTCTCTGCCGCCATCATCGACTGAAAGAGGTTTTTCAACGTTCGAAAGAATGAAAACATTTGCAAGAAATAGTACTTCAAAAATGAGATTGAGCGATTTTGCTTTGGCGTCAATTGAAAAACCTCTCATTCAACAATTACAAAATGATGCAAGTTTTTACGATAAAATTATCGACCATTTCGCAGAAACCAAAATTAGGAAGATTGATCTAATTTACACAAGTGTATGATGATAATTTTATTATTTTTCATCATGTAATGTCAAGCTGGGCATTTTCGATAGAATACATTTTTTAGATATTTCTGTTCTGGTATTAGATATTGATAGATGATAAGGTATTTTCACATAGTGATACTTGATGAATAAGAACAGTTATTTTTTCAAATGAAAAATGTGAAAAATCTTTATGTCGTTACAATATTGGTGTATTCAACAGAATTCAAATTGTTTTATTTTTTGTTTTCATTTATTTCCTCAGCCTATTCCATTCCTTACCTTGGCAAAGATTCACATATACAGGTGTCCCATAAGTCATGGATTAAAAAAAGTAGGGTGGGAGGGGGGGTTGTTGATTGTTCAAATATTAGTTTTATTCTTTTCATTATAAAAAAATTTATTACAATAAAACGATGTCACATTTGTGATTTTTTTTCTTTCACAAATTTCATCCACATGGATGCACCTTTCCCCAGAAATAATTTTATAATTGGTGTTGTACTGCTTATTTATGAATTCACCATGGTATACTGGCAAATACGTTACAATGGGCGGATGGACTGATAATTAATTATTGGCATTCAACTACTGTGTCGTTAGGAACCTAAATTAATTTTTGCAGCACTTCTCACGCTTCATTATATTGTTCGCTGATGATATAACTTTTTACAATTCCGCCCTGAATTCAACAGAACTTCATCAGAATGATGTTGAAGCTTCTAACAGAATCAGTGAGTGGCTCATTCCCAACAACCTGATTCAAAATGACTCCAAAACACAGTCAATTACTTTTTCCTCCAACACTGTCGTTGCCACAAATGTACCAGTAAAACTGTTAGGTATCACCCTAGACAGCAAACTTAGGTGGGCTGAACACATTGACATACTGTGTAAAAAGTTGTCAAGTCAAACCTTCATCCTCAGGCGGTTGAGGAATACTGTTGATGAGAAAGTTCTGAAAATGTCAGACTTCTCACTGTTCCACTCACATCTGAGTTATGGCGTGATTTTATGGGGTAACTCTACCCACGCAAACCGTGCCTTCATTTAACAAAAGAAAGCAGTTAGGGTAATTGCCAAGGCAGCTTACAAAGATTCATGTAAACCCTTATTTAGGGCATTGGAAATATTGACACTTCCTGCAGTGTATGTGTATTATTGTTTGGTTGAAATACATGATCATGTTCACAGCTATAGCAGACATAAAAATCTACACAGCTACTCCACCAGAAATAACTCCCAGCTCATCAATCCTAGATTTCGTCTCAATATTTCATCAATATATACTTGTTGCTTTTATTTGTTATGTTCACATATCCTCTATTTTTAATATTTTTTATAACAAGATATTTATATCTACGGACATGTTCCAAACTATTTGACGTGTGTAATGAATGAAATTTTCAAAGACACCAATAAATTCTATTCTATTCTATTTTTAATGTAAATAATAAGTCTTTGCGTTGTTCAAAATCGTTGAATTTCAGAGCTCATTTCAAACGTAACGCCATGGCTGCCATTTGGCGATACGTCGAATAAATGGTGACGCCAGTTTTTATGCTGTTTCGTTATTGATCAGATAATCTTCTATATCCTTTCATGAAGCAAGATTGTCAAGTCACCAACTATAATCAAGTTATCAAAAAGATGTAAGAGTCCTGTCGTTGAATAAAACAGAATAGGAGGAACTCATGACATTATAGTTCGTTCTTGACTCTTTCGAGCAACCAGCATGTCCAAATATTTTTTATTCTCCATAACAAATTATGTGAATGTTGGAGACTTGGCAACAATGTGCTGCGTGCTGAGTACTGACAAGACCACGCCCACGGGTCGTGCGCGGGGTTGTCACGTTCTTCGATTCAAATGTCCTCTAGTGTGAATTAATATAATTATTATTTACTCAAATGTAATTTGAGCAATGAGCCACGAATCATAAGGAAGCATTTTGAGACAATTGAATTTTTATTGCTAATTAAGAATTACCAATACTCAGTTGAGAATTTATGAATTATTGAATAACTAATATTTCTACTAACGAAATCGTGGCGTCAGTTTTTACTGGTGGTAAATATCTATAGCCGTTTGAAAATTACCGTATCATTATTAATGATTTTGGCACCTAAAAATCGACCGAAAAATTCTTGAAAAATATGAAATTGAAAGGTATTTGAGGGATGATTCTATTCAAGAAATAAATGAAAATCAGTCCACTCGCATATTCATGAAGTTGTCTATAATTGATCATAGACTTTACAGAAAGTCCTGTTTTGGAAGACAGTGAAGCATCCCCTTCATAGTCTTGACCCCCAAATAGCCAGCAAGGCGTCATAAAAAAACTCACCCATACAAGAGTAGATTTATGAAGAATTGTGATGGTTTCTGTATATCATTGATTCTATTATTTATTTCCGCATATAATATATTGCTTGCATTTTCCGATTGATTTGAAAAATGTCTTGGTGTTTCTAAGCAAAACATACTAACACGAGTGGGTGTCTTATTCGCACGGAGGATGGATTCCTGATGATGAAACCTTCTGTCAAGACGAAACATATTTTTATTTCCAGATGGTCGGGCGACATACAAGGCTCTGAAACCCCATCTGTGAGACTACACAGGAAAATCGAGAAAAAGTAGCAATTATTGCCCTAAAACATTCATAACTGCTGCAAAAAGGATATTGCATGAAAGGATCGGTCATAGAACCGAAAAACCTTCTGAATGTGGAATCTGCAGCACATCGTTTTCATTTCCGTCTTAACACCAAAGACACCGATCGTAGTGGTTGAAACAATAAGAATTCAAGAACACAGGTCCCAAAAATACTCACCAGCTGGTAGTGTCGCTATGATTCTCGTAAAAATTTGTAAAAATTCAAGATGGCGGATCCATTATGGCGGACGAGTTTTGTAATTATGGTCCAATTCTATTCGAAATTGGTATCTGGAGTTTCTCGGGGTTGGAAATTATGATTCTTTCGTCATAATTGGAAAATTCAAGATGGCGGATCCAATATGTTGGACGAGTTTTGTAATATATGATCCGATTTTATCCAAAATTGATATCTGAGGGTTTCTATGGGGGACGGGTTTGTGTAATCATGATCCGATTCTATTAAGAATTAGTTTCTGGTGGTTTTGGGGTCTGAGAGTATGATTCTATCGTCAAAATTGTGCGCTTACAGAAAATATAAGAACACTAAGAAACATGCTTTTGTAGTTGGCCGAACTAAAAACTAGAAAATGAATAGTAGTTTATAAAACTAAAGAAACAACATTTTATAGATAGCCAAACTAAAAAGACGTAGAAAATAAAATAATAAAAGTGTGTTGATAAATTCACAACATAGAGTGTACTAATTTCGGAGGTGCTATTATGTAAATTTATTGAATTTGATATTAAAACATTATCGTTCTGAGTCAAAATCCCAAGAAAATCTACGAACCTACAAAACTATAAAGAAGACTAGCGAAAAACCCGATCAAAGTGAAAATTAAGTTGAATAGTTGTAATCAGAAGTGTTTCACGCATTTTCTCATGCATGTATTCTGCATTCTGTAGGACACTAGGAGGCGACTATTACTCAGAAGTTCCAACTGAGCAACAGTGACTATACTTCTTCCAATTGGAGCAAATGATGTTACTCGACTTCAATATTGATAGTCATACGAAGATCCGAAGGAGTTCTAGGAAGTGAAATGTATTTTTATTTCCAGATAGCCAAGCGGACATAGAAAATCCGCTAGACCTACTGGGTAACTTGGAAGCAAAACCGGCGAAAAGACCACGACCAAATCCGAGCAGGTCGGATAGAGTCGTGCAAAACTACAGGTGCCAATTTTGCCCGGAAAAATTTTTCTTCGATTCGAGTCGCAAAATCCACGAAGAAACTCACTTGGGCGAAGCCGAGTATTTTTGCAGCCGTTGCTTCCTTATATTCGACGATCATCTGAGCCGAATAGTGCACGAGGGAAGTCGACATTCCGGCATCAACAAGTATTCCTGCAACTTTTGTCCCAGAAAATTTCTCCGCGCCCAGTTTCGGGATGCACACGAGAAGACGCATGCCAGAGAGCCGAAAACAGTCCCGAACCGGCATTTTCAACGATCGAATGGTCGACGCATTGAGCCGAAGCCATCTCGGAAGCCATGAACATGTTTGAGCAACGACAATGCCAATAAGAGCTGTGGATAAGAGTGTCGATGAAAGCGACAATTAAAACTGCGACACTATCGTACCTCGATGCATTCTATTGAAGCTTGGATACTCGTTTGGTTCAAGCAATGTTTGTTCAAGTTGTCCTCTTCGCTAGCTGCTCGCTATTGTCAGCATAGAGTTACGAATTTTCGTTGTCAAATTCAAATTGATAAGGTCTTGATTCTTGAACATCATATGATAGTCGCAACATATATTTCGCTTCGAGTAAATATGAGGTCCAATATCAATAGACCAGCTAATACTACACATTATGTAAGGTTAAGTTGGATTTTTCCCGAATATGCATTGTAGTTAATCCCATATAGAACTGATTGTATGTACACTTTCGTGGCAAAATTACCTGCAGCTCTGACGTGAATCCCTGTATATGAACACGTGCTCTTTATTTCATTGATTTGCTGATATCATAGCTTCTCATCTATTCATCTATCACTGCTCCAACATGTTTGCGGACTTAGACAACGTGCGTTTCAGATGCTTGTATTGTAGACGCGAAAACAATCTTATGTTTGTTATGTTTGTATAGGACAATCTATTTCATTAGATTTAAGAATAGTGTGGGTAATAATGAGCAAATATAAATTAGAAAAACATGTATCATTGTTATTATCATCACCACCTCATCAAGTTCTATTGAAATATGTGTGAACAAATTTCATAGCTGTATCCCTCTGTCTCGAATAATATAGAGGCTGATCCGTCTAAACCGCACATTAGAGGTATTTGAAGTTTTAAAAATGAGACTGATCTGAAAATTTGTATACAATGAAAATATTTTCAAGATTGCTGCA